CCCCCCCGGTCACCCCCCTGAAATAAACACTGGTCACCATATCTTTAAACAATATTGGTGTATAAGTATTAAATAGTTTAATTTCTTACTGCATAGTTTCGTGTAACAATCTATGTGCACTTTATTTTTACTTCATAAGATCCACCATTCAGGCCACTTACTTGGCGTTGGTAGGTGGGTTTGGGGTGTAGCACTAGCATTTCTTGAAAATAATGAACACAAATCCGGGACGATAAAAGTCCTTTGCCATAGATATTAAAGTTGCTATATATTTTATTTATAACTAGGTATTGGTATTCCAACAAAATGTGTACATGTACATGTTGTTTTTTATATTAATTTGCTGTAAATTAGTGTACATGTATTTTAAACTTATTTTAGGGTAACTAATATAACTGATATTTTATATGGGCGTATAATAGCAAATAAGCTGTACAACCAATATTTCAGGTACCTTTTATAAAAATAGAAATTAGATGTTAGAATTTATATTAAAATTACTATAAAAAAATACACTAATAAGTAATATTATACAATAAGGGCCTAGATTTATTTACTGTACCACGGTTAAAAAATTATTGGGTGGGCCTCAGCCTGATACATAGAACCACTAAAACAATTTAAATCATTATTTTGAATATTTTATGTTATGTTCTAAATGTGAAATTTATATTTAAGAAACTTACAAACAGCAATAAAAAAACGATCTTATATTTTTAAACGGTAATAGTACAAACTATCATACATATTTTATCTAACGTAATGTCTTATTTAAATAAGGAAATCAATAAAAAAAAAGGCATAATAAATGTATTTAAAAATTTTTTCTCAAGTACATTATCTTAAATAATAATGTTTATCCTCATAGGTCTGTTGAAAAAAATTAGATAAAGCCATTTGAAAAATGGTCCTGAATCATGTATATGTTTTTAACTAATTATGCAATATATCTTAAAAGAGCAATGAGCCTGATGAAAATATAGCTCCAATATTTTTGAAAGAATGTGCGTTTCTACTTACTCCGGTTATCAAATAAATCTTTAGATTCAGGTATTTGTCCTGAACAATGAAAGTCATAATTTGTTACCTCTACTTAAAAAAAAGATAAAAAAAAAATCTAATATATAACTATTTTCCAGTACCTAAATTATCCATTATTCCCGAATTATTTTCTAAAATAGTAAATATCATTATTACAGCATTATTTAATCCATTATTATCAAGTAACCAACATGGTTTAAGGCAAAATAGATCAACAGTAACAAACTTGAACACATTCAAACAATCAATCCTACAAATGTATAATACTCAAACATAAACCGATGTAGTGTACACAGATATGGATAAAGCATTTGATAGGATAAATCACAAATTTAATTAATAAGCTTAAATCTTATGGGTCTTCTGAACCACTTATATAGTGGTTCCACTTATTAATCTCAGATTGTACATAAATAATCAAACATGAAAACTATCTTTCTGAACAAATACATGTTAGTATACAGGAGTCCCACAGAGGAGATCCACTTATCACCTATATTATTCTGTATTTTTATAAACAATATCCTAAAGTTATTTCATATTCAAAAATCCTATTGTTTACTGATGATACAAAAATATTTAGAAAAATTAGAAACATAAATGATGCTATTAACTGCAGTTCGATTCAGATGATATTTAGTTATCGAAATAATGATTTATATTTTAACTTGAATAAATGTTCCATGATTACGTTATCTAAAAAAAAAACCTATTAGTTTATTTATTCTTTAGTAAATATTAGTTTATCAAGAGTGACTTGGGTACATATCCTTAGAATGAGGTTTGATGTGAAAGTTTTTTTAATGACTATGTATTTTATTAGAAATAAAGCATATTCAAAATTAGGTTTCTTAACCTTAGATTACAAGCATTTAAAATATTCACGAGAATTCATGCACACAGTGTTTTTACCTTGTATTGAAATTTTTCAACTAAAACTCAATAAATTGGAATAATAATTATTATCGCAATTGATAATGTTTATTGGCCAGCTATTTTATTATTAGAAAATACTATTTAAAAATAACTCTAGATTGAATTTTTGTAGAATTAAATTCTTTATAAATGTTACAGCAAGCGCACGATCTGTTAGACCATATTTTAATAGGTAACTTTAAACATTTCTATATTACTGACATCTGATTGTGTGCAGTTGGGAATCATATCTTATTTTAGTTTATCACCTAATTAAAAGGTACTCAGGCTAGATTACACAAATATTTCAAATTCGTGCAATATACAATGAACACATTTTTGAAAAACCGGTATTTTGAACTGAAGCACGTGCTCTAAGGTATTATATATGTGGGCACACTTAAAGGATGAATCTGTATTAAAAACTTTATATCAGTCAACTGTCCGTTCAAAATTTAATTATGCACTCCTTATCCGGCACACATATTCAAAAACTTAGACACAAAATTTAGAAGAAATTCAAAATAATTTTTTCAATTCTTATGTTATCAATGTTTTTTCTATAGAACTCCACATACAGGCTATAAAGTTGAGAGAGAAATGTTTAATATACTAATGCTTGTACAACGTTTTTTACAAATTTAACTAAAATGTTGTTTAAAATAATAAATAATATGATTGATTCCCCTAAAATACTCCAGAACATAAATTTTAAATACTCAATTCAAAAAAATGTTCGTGATAAAAACTTATGTTATACAAAAAATGTAACCACATCATAAATGTTAAAATGTCTGCTAGTAATTATGTGGAAAATATTGATTTTTTTAATACATATTTAGAACTTACAGTTAAGGACTATAAATTAAAATAATTGGAAGTAAATTTATATGTTAATATGAGAAAAAATATGAATTATATAAGTTTGTATTTACGTAATTTTTGTTTTAAATTGTTACAACTTATTATACATACCTAGTTATGAATATTTTGTATTATAAAACATAAATGAAAAAAATTGAATTGGAAGATTATTTCTATAAATGAGTTTATTATTATTATAAAATTAAGATAATACTGAACTACCTAAAAAAAAAAATGTTTTACTACTTTTAACTCAGATCCATGAAATATTTGTTTATTTTAATTACATTTTGTTATCAACTATTTATTATTTTAAAACTCTAGACTCTAATATTTGTTTAATATATAGGGTGTTACAGAAATACTTAACAAACGTTATAACATTTGTTCTCATCAATATTCAATTAATTTTTTTTAAATTAAATTTAAATTATCAATTTTCGTATAATATCTAAATTTAGAAAAATTAAATTTTAAAAATGATATTAGTTACTACACAATTAGTTAAATCTTAAATACATCTATTAGTTTTTTCTATTACACCCTGTATAATTTTTATTATAGCACTCAAATATTTAATCAAAACTTTAGACTGACCAGCATAAACTCGATGAGTTCATTACTACCAAGAATATTAATCATACAAAGTATACATTTTTTGAATTACAGGATTCATTACTAGACCTATCTTCCTCATCAAGCAGCTATTCTTTGCAATCTTTTGACATGTCACTAAATGGAAGCAATAACACTAATATCTTAGTTAAAAATAGTGTCAATAACTCAACATTTAACACTTCGTCTGATTTTTATATTATTCGGATAACGGTTGATGCTGATAATGTGGAGACTGACGGTATGTAAAAATATTAAATTTAATTCTTTTGAATAGTTATATATCATATTAAACTTTTCAAAACACAATGTGTTTAAGAGGACGTTAATACCCATATGTGTTGCCTCTATCTTACAACTCTCAACATAGCCAAAAAATGTTTTTGCACTGAACAACTTTACTCCCTCTGTATATATAGTAGAATTTCCGAAATTACCCAATGCACTGGGAAGAACTTTATCTGTGATGTAGCGTTTTTTTTATAGCACCAACTCATCATTCTTAATGATTACAGTAAATACTTTAATTGTATTTATGTTATCTAAATAATAAAAAGTTCTTCCCTATGCGTTGTAGAATATTAGAAATTCTACTATGAATACTGAGAGAGTAATTTTGTTCCGCTCAAAAATAGTTTTTGCTATTTTAAGCATTAGTAAGACAAATAAGTAAAAAAAATAAACAATGTTGTTAGAAAATTTAAAAATTGCATACTTATAATTTATTTATTTTAGGGGTTGTATTATACAAAAGTATTATGTTGAGTAACAATGAACGAACACCACAAGTTATTAGAAATGCTATGCTGAAATTTTGTATTGATGATGATCCTGAAAACTACACCCTATCACAAGTTTTACCTGATAAAGGTTTGCTTAACTATTATTGTAATGAATGTGATTATTATGTATTAAATTTACTTTTTGATATATTTTCAGAAATGATTTTACCAATGACAGCCAATGTTTACTATGCTGTAAATACAGAGTATGATTTGAACTTTTTGTTACGTAAAAAGACATGGAAAAACAACACAATTCCTAAAAAATGAATATTTTCTTAAAACAAACGTGTGATATGTTGTTATACATAATTAAGTTTAATATTTTATGTAATCGACTGTTTTGTGTATATAAAAAAAAATACAATCAATAAAATAATTCTGTATACAATGAATTTTGTTTGAGTATAAAAAAAAAGTTTTGCCAGGAATCAGGGTATACGGAAGTTAAGTAAGTTGTATCAATGTACCTTGTAATTGATAATAATCATCATTAATTTTTTTTAATAAACAGTTTTTCTGCCTTTCATACAATTATTATCAGTAATATTACATTAACTTACCCACATTAATTGTCGATCGTGTTCAAAAACGTCAGACGTGCGTTAATCCACTTGCATTTTTCTTCAACAATCAGTCAAGCCATGTGGGAACAGTTGATCAAACTCTATCTTTGCCCCACTGAGTACTGACTGGTGTCACATGTGGTGTGTATCGAAAGCTCAACAATGTTTTTTGTCACTTCAAGTCACGGACTTCATGACCAAAGCTCTACTCCAGTACGACTACTGTCAAGGGCCGTAGATAGTTAGACCATATAATAATATATTTAATATTTCCTATTGGCAGTCTTGTTAAGTACCTATCTATTTAGAGGCGGCTCTACATTTGATTAAATGCGAAATTTCTTGTTGGCCTATCATCGTTTAAGGGTCCTTGCAGTAAAAATTATGTACTGTTTTAAACAATTTCAGGTCAAGTAAATTAAACCGTGGAATATTGAAATAATACAAAATAAACTGATTACTGAACGATGCATGAGGATTATCTGATGTTAACACAATACTACTTAAACCACTATTAAATATTAATAAATATGAAAAATACATTACTCGAGTATTAAAAAGTTATGTCCTATGGCTGTTATAGTGATCCGTGGATACACAGTAACTCAAGGTGTAGTCTATAGCTGGTACACTACTATACTATAATAATATAGATGATAGAATGCTGCAGATTTTCATATGCTATCATTCTGTCAAACTTAGATTTGTTTATTGTTAAAATAGATCATAAATTATTTTTTCCATTACATTCGAATGATTTTATAAGACAGTTGTGTTACTGGGTGTTAGTCATAGGGGTTTGGTGTCAGAAACAATGAATTAAGTCCAAGTTATTCGGTAAATAGTTTTACAATTAATTTGCATTGAAAGAATAGGTAGTCACCAACATATTTTAAAATTAAAACTTCAAGTAATTGAGGACATTAGGTGAGTTGTGAGCTTAAATGTATATGTATGGTAATAAGATAGGAGTTTTTGACAATTTAAAAAAGTTGGTTCCTCACTATTGATTTATCAATACCATTTTTAAGGATAATTATCTTTAGTATAAACATTATAATAATTCAGTAAGTACTCGTTAGAATTTAGAGTTAGGGCCTCTAAAATTTTTTAATATACATTTCTGATAAACTTACAATTATTTTAATATGAAAAATACATAGGTACTTGTATCATGTACAACTCAGCTCACGCTAAGCTCCCAGTTCTACTTATATTATAAATTTAAACGTTCTCTCGGTTTGATTGTTCTCTTTGACATTCGAGGTAGGACCGCTTGTGTGTCTGGAACTGGTTGCACCACAGAAACTGTTTGAATGACAGGAACTGTTTGCATGACAGGAACTGTTTGAATGTCTGGAATTTTTTGAGTGTCCAAAACTGTTTTAAAGACTGGAAAAGGAATCACTTTGTCTTTATGATGGATCACCTCTTCTCCATTTACCTTAATTAGTGTCAGATAATCTGAGCTATCTGCATTAAGTATATAACCATTTAGCCCATAACGTACAGCTACTTTTTGACCATAATGAAATAATTGGGATGGATTTGGATCTTCCTCTTTCAGCGTTATTTTAGAGACTTTGTCTACTGTTGGTTTTAGTAGGTCTAGGTTAGATCTTAACTCTCGTCCTAGAAACAATTGTGCTGGACTCTTTACAGTGGATATGGTCTGTGAACGTCTCCAGGTGAACAATATCGTATTCAGTTTATTTTGTACACAACCTACATGACCTTTTAGTTCTATGAGCGCACGCTTCAAGGAGAATACAAGTCTTTCCACTTTTTTATAAGATTCTGCATTGTTAGGAATAGACGTAAAATGTTCTATACCTGAACTTTTCAAAAAAGTCTGAAATTCTTCTTTCATAAATGGCATTACATTATCACTAATAAGAACTTTAGGTTGACCAAATCTAGAAAACAATAATTGTAACTTTTCAATAACATTTGATGCCGATGAGGATTTTAAGATAAAAACTTCCGGCCACATAGAATATTCATCAATAACCAATAAAAACAAACGTTTCATAAATGGTCCTGCATAATCAATATGTATTCTTTCCCAGGGCTCTGTGGGAACCTTCCAACAACTCACATGAGCCTTGCATGGTGCACGATTTATTGCGATGCATCTATGACAATGTTTCGTAAGTTTAAAAATGTCCTCATCAATACTTGGCCAGTAGACATGATATGAAAGTGCTAATCCTATAAGCTTGATGGGATTTCCATGCTCTATATGTAGATATCTTAAAATACCACCTTGTAAAATTTTTGGAATCCAAATCCGTGTACGATATAGGATACATCCATCATGTATCGAATATTCATCATGTCCGATTGAACCTAGAAGTATCTCTTTGTACACTTTTTTCAATTTTGGGTCATTCGCTGTTGCAAAGGCTATTTTATCAGTCGTTAGGGCAAGTTCAGGTAGTTGAAGTTTGGTAAGTAAAAATGTATCCATGATGAAGTAATAAATGTCTTCAGATATCACTTTGTCTGACGTCAGTGTTAAATGCGATGATCTGTTGGCTTTACTGCGAATTTCTGAGAGGTAGTGCGGTCCTTCTTATCAAATTGTAAATTTCTGTAAAAACAATGAAATATAGTCGTTTACACTCAGAAAAACAAATATGTAACTTGTTGTGTTGACCTACCAAAAATGTGGTTCAGTGATTAATAGTCGATAAATATTAAATAGAGTAAACAAACAATTAACTTACTACGTACCTGACATAAAAATTATCTACGCGGCTTCTCGTCGTTTTTCGTACTACACTTAGACTGCAGTATAATTTACTTATTGAAATCACGATTCAAGAATATAATATACCCGCCGTTATATTATAACATTACAACTTACAAGACCGAGTTTGACATGGTATATAGGACCATAATATAATAATAATAATATACAGACTCCGGTTGTATTGGCGCCTCAGAACAAAGACTCAAACATTAAAGTCTGTGATAGCCGATCATGGATAGTAAAGAGATGGATGTTTATTATGCATTCCTGTAATACTATCAATTTGAGGTTACATGGGATAAATATTAATCGCGCGCAAACCTGCAGTATTTAAATTAACTTAAAAACTCTAAGGTAATTAATAATTATACTATATTGTGTTTAATTATTATGATTCTATTCTATTTTAAAATACTTATGTACATCGACGATTTTATTTGAAGGTTGAACATAACCTTAAATAGTACCCCGTGTAAGAGAGAGAACGAACATTCTTAAACATGTTTTCTCTCCCATAAAAAAGAACACAACCCCGCACGGTGGTAATATAACCATGGCCCTTAGATCATATATGTATATACATCGTATATGATCTAAGCCATGGCCTATCCATATATCTATTATCTATTTAGCCGATACTGCGATCGTTATTCGATCGGTTATCATACGCAAAACATTTTTTTTTAAAGACGTTGAATGGCGTTGATATACGAGAATAATTTCGAATCAAGAAGGTGCGACGTGTTTCTCGTAAGCCGATGCCCTCCGCCGTTTCGTTTGCGTCAAAAAAACCAGTCCACGGACATTTCGAAGTATACGACGTTTCGTCCCGCCGGCACATTTTGATTTTTGAATATTGTCGATCGTAAAAGTCGTTTGAAAAATTTATCAAGTATATGAATTGATAAAATAAACATATATTGTAAATTTCAAGTGTTCAGTAATTTATTAATTGTTTTTGAATTACAACAAAATAAGAAAATGGTTATCTACACGAAGAATCGAGTGAAATCATATGTTGTAAAATTTTAACTTCTAACTCTAATAAAAATTTAATTTGAATTTCCGGAAGACATTTTTTTTTTGTTAAAGGTAAACAAACTTATAACTCACAAGGAATCTTATATTAAATTTGTAAATCTTAGATATAAAAATAAAAATGTTAGTGAATTTCTAACTTACAATAAATTGCTAATTTTCGTCAATTTTACGAATTTTGTCAAAATTCTAAAATCAAACGCTCATAAAAATTTATTTTGGATTTACGCTCAATTTTTATTTTTATTTTCACCAACAACAACTTACGAGGAATCTTGTATTACATTTTCAAGTTTTTTGATAGAGCGAAAAATGTTTTGTTGGCATTAGTTTAAAAAAAAACATAATAATCCAAAATTATGTAGCCTACATAGTACATAGTACATAGTACCTGTACAGGATGATTTTTTTATGTATGCTCATTCTATTTTTATGCATAAATTATACATATAATAAAATTCAGATTTTTGGAATTTTTTAACACACTTGAAGACTATTGAGTCATTGAAGACTGAAGTTTTTTTACCACTTAAGAATAATCTTGTGAAAATACAAACTTTAGTTTTTCAAATAGGAACCTCTCTTTTTCATTCGTGCAGATTTTTTTTTGAGAATTATGATGTAACTAAATCAAAAATCAAACTAGTAGTTTTTGAGTTATATAACTTTGTGTTTTAAGGATAATATGTTTATGAAAATGTTAGCAATTACTATTGATTTATCAATATAAAGTGGGGTTCCAATTTGAAAAATAGAAGTTTGTATCACCACAGAATACTTCTGAAGTAGGTAGTACAAAAAATTTAAATTATTCAAAAATATGGTCTATAGGTCTATTTGAAAATTCTTAAAATCAGAATTTGAATAAATGTACTATTAAAGACAAAAAATATGGGTGAGCATCCTTAAAATATCATCCTGTATATTAAGCTTTAGTTAATTTATAGAACATTTTTTTTTATTTATTTTAATTGTTCATTAAAAAATGTAACTATAAATAATTGTTAGTGAAATAATTAACTTTTGAAGAAATTATTAAATAATAATATTAAAAAACCTGAGAACCTTAATACTGGAAAATGTGATTAATTATGTACATTGTAAGGCACAATGTGAGCAACATACAAAAATGAGTTCTTAGTTTTAAACTCATTTAGTAAGTTCTGTGCTAGATTATATAAAGTTTGGCAGATATCGGGGATTATTGGAATTCTTAATGCGCTTACACAAAGTTTAAAATGAGTTTCTATTTGTTTACTTAAATTTCTTTTTAAAACTATTAATCCAAAATTAATAACAAATATTTTCAGATCAGTGGATTTATAATATTCTATGTCGTCTAAACTTCAGGGTAAACAACTGAATTCAGATAGAACATTAGTATATAGTATATATACATTATACTATATACGATCATAGGTTCATCAAAAATAATTAGTATTCTTAGATAGTTACTAGTTTGAACAACTGCGATTGCATACTGCAGACTGTTAGTGTTACAATTAGGAATATTATATCACAATGATGGTGACTGGTGAGCCGGGGAGAAATAAAGACATATAAGTTATAGACTTATTATCGACTGCGGATTTACATTGAATAATAAATATATAGTTTCATCAGTTCTACGAACGCACGTCGCAACCGACAAGCAGAATAGATGCTTGTTTACTACATATAGACCGGCCAATACACCCAACAATATTTAGCAATACTGATTTATTTTGGATTTATAAATATAATCTAATTTTATCAGCGCAGCGAACGTAGTCAGTCATACATCGTACATAATAAAATATGATTAAATGATTTGCCCAACTTTCTATATTCTAAAACGATTTAAATATTATAAATATATTATATAAAATATAAATTATGAATTCAAAAAGTGTAAATTAATTTTTCAATTAAATCAGGTCGTCCAAATCTCCATCTGCCCAAGGTCTGAAAAGAGGCCGATTTAGTCAGCAGCAAATATTAACTGTAGGTCAACTGACCTCCTGAATTTTAGGCCTTAAGGAATTATTGTCTTCAAACTCTGTTTCCGCAATGGATTTTTCGATTTCAACCTGCTGATACAGTGAAAACTGTCTAAAGCGGAATCGCATGGGACCAACAATTTTCCCACAGTTAAATATATTTTGTAATTGTTTTACTGAATGTCCTTTTGTACTCATATCGATCAGTTAATATTTTTCATTAGGTGAACGACACTTATATTTTGGCGTTTTAATATTTTATGCTATGAACGGAAGATAAAATAAAATTAAAAGTGTACGTACGACTGTTCAACAGTTACAAAGAAGAAATTTCGTATTGTTTAAGATGCGATAATACATAGTAATAATGCGATAATGCGATAATGCATTGTAAGTACAATGTACATATTATATTGCACGAACATGTACCTATAGAACAATTTTATCTTCTTTATCTATCACTATTTAACGATGTACATTGCACATATCGACACATCTATATTTTATACCTTATTTTTGGTTTAGATTTGACACGCGCGTGTCATTCCGGTTTATACAAGGCTTTTACTTGCATGGGACTTACAAAATCGTTCCGTTTCCGCGTTATGAAGGTTCAGTTTTATTGAGGTTGAGCATCTATATAAGACAATAGGAACGTGACGGGACCATAGAAAAATTCCGTATTGGATAGTTTTCCGTATTATTCAGGGTCCGCTTTAGACAGTTTTCACTGTACCATACTTTCCTAAAATTATCTGTGAAATAAATCAAAATTGTTTTGAGTTGATTCTTACAATTTCTGACAAATAAATACAAACTAATTATAAAATTAGTTTTCATAAGTTCCCACTAAAAGTTTTGTTTCCACCATGAACTTTATTCATGTACAGTCAGGCTGCCTGCCATTTGTAGAACATCACTCAACATTTCCAGGAGGCCACTGGCCAGTAGCAAAACTGAAAATCGGTTGAGTTAACCAATTACACACATCCATCGGTTGCCTTACTCAAGACTCTAAGGCAAGGGTCACCAATTAATATTTATGGTAGGCCTTATTAGAAATTAGGAAACACTTTTCAGCACATTAAAACTCATCAAAACTTGGAGATCCCTGTTAAGGTATACCTAAAACCTAAAATTTGCATTAGCTACTAAAGCAATACTTTTTGAATTTGTTGTTAACAATTCTACTGAATCAGCTGGTACCCAAGTAGAATTATTCAGTACTGTATCAATGCAAAAATACATATTAAGATAAACATATTTTACTTACATCATCAAAATTTGAAGAAAAAACCGTTGTAATTTGATGGTTCTTCAACATTTTCCTCATCAGTCATACTATTGACATAAATTTCAAGCTCTAGTAATTGAGATAAGAGGGGATCATAATATCCATTTACCAGTATGGTATTTAAAATTTCTGCTATTTTGAGTAAAAAAAATATTAATAAAATAATAATTAACTAACAAATTTATGAACTACTTACTATCAATACCCTTTGAATCAAGTTCACGGGGTACACCTTCTACCAAAAAGTATATTGTTCTAATCATCTCAGCTTCATAAGCAGATGATGGTTCATGTATGGTATAAGAGCAGGCCCTCTACCAGCTACAAATAATACTGATTTTGGACACCTCATTGCTTTCTCAATGTTTGCATACTTCATTTTTATTCTTTAAGCTGTTTCCATTTCTAGGCTATAAAAATAATAATGATAATAAATCAACAATAAAATAAACAAAGCAAGCAAAAGCAAAATTATAAGATATAAGACAATACACTTTTTGCAGTTCGACTACTCTTGAGGTATATTGATTTCAAGATTAACCCCTAGTTAACTAAGTGACTAGCGCAGTAGCGCATCAATTTCACTTAGTAACACAAAAGAATCAATAAGCCTATAGCAGCGTTTCTTAAACTTTTTTATCCGTGGAACCCTTTTTTATGTGTACTTTCACCGTGGACTCCCAGCTTTTGTTAGCTTTTTTTTATTGAGCTTTTAACAACAAATTATTACAGCTCGACAATTAGAACCACTACATTGTTTCAATACTTTCAATGCGTCATTTTATGTAAGGAATATTTGCAATAAAAGTCAAAATTTAAAATTTTGAATAAAAAACCACAAGTTTCGGGGAACCCTGAAGTGACCTCCGCGAAACCCTGGAGTTTAAACACAGTTTAAGAAACGCTGGCCTGTAGTCATAACTAAGAAGTTAAATGTTCACC